CGTCCTGTTCTCCCATTGGTCCGTTCTGCAGCGCTGCAATGGAGAAGGAAAAATCGTGAGCCGATTGCGCCTCAGTCCCCGGCGCGTCATTCAATGCCCGGGTGACGCAACACAGCCGGAAGTCGCACAACCGGTCACATGACGTCGCCACCATGGCGTGCTTCTCACCTTCGACCAATGGATTAACACCAATATGGCTGCTATTTGTTACGCCGCTACAACACACTGCCTCCCCATAAGGAGCGAAGCTGTCCCACCTTCAGGCTTTATTCGTGATGGTTAAAATATCCAATTCGACACTCCCCACACCCCAGAACAGGCTTTATTGACCAATCACAAGCCAGAGCCACACGTCAGGCGCCTTCCATCCGAGTCCGCAACGCTGGCCACGCCGCTCATTATATACTGCATCTCATCCATGTCCTTCTCCGGTTGGCTGCCTTCTTTTCCCGCATGCCATTGGATTGCAGAGAGACACGGGATTGGCTGAGGCCAGGTGGTCCAACATGTCTGCGCCCTAATCCGACGCCACACCACAACAGCATTAGACGTGCCTGTGAAGATGAGAGTTAAGAGATCGCGCCAGTTTTCAAAGGTCCTCTCAGTGTATGCCCGATGCTTTGGTCTAGATGTAAAAAACCTCGAAGTTTTCTTAGATCACACTTTTGTTAGACAAGCCTTACTGAACCACGTCAATATTTACGACAGCATTTCCAACTTGGTTGGGCGCGGCTTTAGACTCATGACTTCCTCCTGCGTCATCGCTGAATGTCGTGCTCTCGGGTCGCTATTTTATGGCACTCTCAAAATTCTTGAAGGATTTAGTGTACTCAAGTGTCGGCATGAATACAACCCTTCTCTTGGCGCCGCTTGGTGCATTCGCAAGAGGATTCGTACTTCACGAAAGCACAGCCAACGCTTTGGTAGATTAAATAAGGGTGAACGGTGTTTTCTTTTCGCGCTGGCATCAAATGACTCCGACTTACGGTATCGTGAGCGAGAAGTCCCCGGAATGCCCGTCATGTTCATCGCCCAACGCTGCCTTAACACTGAACCCATTCCAGAAACAACTCAACAACTTGTCGAAAAATTAACATCCCAAAGCCTTTAAATGAACCCGTTTGAAGTACGTAGTAGTATTTTAAAATTGTAGAGAGCAATTGTGTCCTTGAATTTTGTTCAACGAAAGCTGCACACGCGTTCATGCCTGAAAATATCCATATCTCATAATAAGTGATAACTGTTTGCAGTAACCCTGGATTCTGGAAGAGTATGCAGCGAAACTGGAAAAATATTGATAATTCGTGTCATAATGTTAAGAGTGAATGCTAAAACTGTCAATACTTTTGTGGCGAGTCAAGGCTTGCTTTGGTGAAGTTAATTTTCATTTGCGTAGGCCTTACTTACCAAGGTGGTTTACAGAGGTGCTGTCGATTTCAGGCCAGTACTTTTGGTAGTCCACAGATCGGGAATTGCTTCTGGGGTTGACGAAAGTTTTATAAACTGTTGCGTCATACCTTCTGGCAATTCACATACATATACGGCTTTATGGTTGTTCGTGTCCAATTACATGCTCTCCTGAGATCCTGCTCATAGGCATTTTAATATTTGGAACAAGCCGAAAGACATGATGAGCTGAACTGTAATACAAAATCAAAGTAATATCTGAGGTTCAATCGCATATAGTAGCGACAATCCAAGTTAACCTGGTGACATTTAATGATGAACTCTGGTTCATAATTGTGATATTGCAGACAGAAAGACTCCATCAAATTGAGGCAAAATTTGGATTGCAAAAGGACATTGACATCCAAAAGAAGAAAAAGAAACGAGGCGTATCTGGGCCGAATCCTCTATCCTGTCGCAAAAAAGCGACCACCGCCAAAGTAATCGTCTCCGCTTCAGATGAAAAACCCATACGATGGAAGAAGCGCCAACGTGCTCTACGAAAAACGTGGGCAATGTGCCAGGTTCTTAACCATCTTTCCGGACAGCAGCCATCTATTGTGAATTCATAGCATCTATCTACGTGTATTTATTCAGCCATGTAAAGGCGTGCTGAAGGGTCGTGTTTTACTGTTTTGTGATATGTGAGTCATTTTGTATAAAGCCCTGATGTTTTCTTTGGACGGCAGATGTGAAATCGGAATGTTTCTTACTCGGACACTATTAATCAGATAGCTTTACTCCTGTGTTGAATGAAACATGCCGTGGCGTTGACTGGTGGCGTAACCCGAGAATCCAAATTGTGGCAATGGCGCCTCAAAAGGGACCAAAATGCGTCAACACAAGCGTCTTCATTCAGTAGTAGTTCCCACTAATTATTCGCGCACTTTGTTCAACGAAACCACTGTGTAATTTAAGTTAACTGCATGGAAAGATACCATAGTATTGTTTTTACAACAAGTTTCCTAGAATAAAATAGCTGGCTGGAGGCAGCCCCTTGAATCAGTGGCAGTGTGCGGCAAAATTTCCACAGGTACGTGCAATTGGTGTCGTCTCAGGAGTGCTTTTAGGTGCACTCAGAGAAAACAGCTTAGTCGCCATAGCTGAAATATTAAGGTCAACTTGGTATGGCCGAGTTTGTGTTTGTCATGCAATTTCCCTATTTTCGTAATTGGGTACTGAGTTCAGTGGATGTATTTTGGGTAACGACGGCGATCAAGTGGTGAAGTGCATTAGTCGCTAAAGAGATGAAGTGTAGTTCACATCACGGATGACGTCTATGTTGCCCAATCGAATGTGAACCTGGTGTCATCTGCTACTCTTGGTTTCTGTTAAGGTTTGAGGCGGCACTCGAGGTATGGCATGTACTTTCAGCTGCTAGTCGTGCAAAGAAGACACATAGACGGGAAAGCTGCGTCACCTACAAGGTGTTGCGTCAGGTACTTCCCGACACTGGCATCTTGTAGAAGGCGCCGATGTCCATCATGAACTCCTTCGTGAGCGACATCTTCGAATGGATTGCCGCCGAGTGGAGGAGCCGCTTGGCTCACTACATCAAGAAGTCGAAAATCGCCAGCAGGGAGATCCAGACTGCTGTGCATCTGCTGCTTCCTGGTGAAGCACGCGGTGTCGGCGGAGGGCACCAAGGCTGTTACCAACTTCACTGACTCCAAGTAGTAATACAATAAAATTGTTTACTTTCGTGTTAGTAAATGCATTCAGCCATGCATCATCATCATCATCACAGCAAAATAGCGAACTCACACACGGTCCATTTGAAAGCCATCGAGTGCAATTTTTGGTGTTGGTGCTGCATTTATTTTCTTTTTTGAGGTCTTCGATACGTGCGTAGTACTAGTAGTAGGGCTAGTTGTGGTTCGTGATGTTGTTGTTGTTGTTGTAATGGGAGTTGTAGCTGTGGTGGGTTTTGGTGAGTGGCGGGTGTAAGTAGGTGTAGTGGCTGGATGGGTGGGGGCTCGCGGGAAAATAACCGAAGAGACGTGAAGGCCCCTGTCGCCACCGCCACCGCCGCGTTCCCTATGTGGCCTGCGACATGGGGCTTTGAGGGCAATCGAGACTTGAGTTGCCCAATGATGCAATAGGATGTAGAAGCAGATGCATATATTAATGGATGGATGGATGGGGCGATGAGAAGAGGTTGCGCGGTGTCAGTGAATCGCGTTGTCGCAATTGCTTACAATGAATGGCTGGCTCGGAGGTAGCATAGAGCGAGTAGGAGGAGGAGGAGAAGGATGTGGAGGAAAGGGGAGGGGGCCATGGGAGTGTGAGTAGGTAGGTATTACGTAGGCTGCAGAAGCGTGTGGTCCTTTGACATTCATGATGATGTCCACTCGCAGATGCTGACAGCAGGGTGGCATACGCCTTCTGGGTTTGGGGTTATGTGGCCACTAAAGTATCGTAGAGCCCTCGAAGGTATAGTTAGTCCAATTTAGTTGCATCCAATAATTGGGGTTTTGACGTACAGTGGCTCGTGTCACGTTCAATATTCCAAATGGTCAACTGCAACCTTCTTAAAAGAGTTTACCTGAAGTGACAAATTCGCCAAGCAACCCTGACAACACACCCATCATGTCAGGTACCACATTGTCACTGCATCACTCTTAACAGCCTCCATGTCCAGCCAAATTGTCAATCATATGTCATGGATATTCACATTTGTAGATGTGGTAAACTAAGCGCAAAATCAATAACAGCTTTCATTTAGCTAACTCTCGTCCTCACCGTTCCATCCACTCAAAAACGCTTCCTACCCACTCACGCATCTTCGTTATGTTGCCCAATCATTGCAGGGTTCTAACGCAGTTCGACCAAACGGCTGACAAACAAAGAATTAAGTCTATAAAAATATTCCAACTTCGTTGTTTATCATTTGCTAAGCTTTACCACTAATTCTACTAACAAATGATAGTTACTAACCCCACACCAAATACACCCCACAAGTGAGTAATTTAGGTAAGACAAGATCTGATTACGGCATCACTTTCGCACAATAATACACACACATTTCATACGGTCTTCATGGTGGTTTAGGCCTCTGTTACGACTACTGACTCGCGAATGTGAATTTTACATCACCTGCATCACCGAAATAACCGCGATAATAAACCACTATGCACCAACTGGCTTTAATTGATTTGCGGCGTCTACTTTCGAATGACCGACCTAGTGATTTTGCCCCATTTCTATGCCACAAGTTAACAAGCCATATTACAAACGCACACTTTATTCCCTTCTGTAAACAACGCTTGGATGGTACGACCAGGTGACACAGAGACGAGGTGCCCACAATCGGGCATTCACGCACTACGCAAGATGTCCACCTGGATTTTATCCTGCAGTCTTCAACAGTCATTCCAAGCACTATCGGTGGCAATATTGCTGTGGAAGGAAAAATGAAATGCAATCAAAATGCAGACAAAAACCAAGAAAAAGTATTTGGCTTCTTGATAAATGGATGCATTGTTTAGTTACTACAGCCCTCTTTGTTTTTCAGTTCATATAGCCGAAATCACATTTTGCAATGAGTTTATACCGACTGGATTATTAGTGGCCACCACTAAATTTTGATCGCATTGACACGTTCCATTTCATAATGATAAACTCAAAGTTTTCACAATTGCCTATCGTAAACATTACTGACCCACTATCAAACATAATTAAATGTCAAGCCCATAGCATGAAAACTCATTTGAGGAAATTCCGTTTAAACCAAACAAAACAACGCAAAGACATGTGAATCAAAAGTGCAAGCATGAAAGCTAGAAATGCTTTCTACAAGGCCTATTATGCTAGTCAATCAGGATTTGCATTCTTCCTTACTGCTATACCCAAAATGGACAAAAGTGCTGACGTGTTGTAAAATGACGCGCATACGATACATTCGATCTAACTCATTGTAAGACTAAATCGACAAGTAAGGAGTATGAGAAGTAGACCTGTTTTATTGCACAATTAAACATGCCTACTGTTGTCAATTGTCGGCTGCACAGAAGGCCTGCATGTCGCCATACACTTTACCCAAGCCACTAAGACGCGTTATTTGAGAAACACTGATAACTGAAAATGACACAATAGTGACCAAACTCACAATGTAGAAATATTTTGATGAATCTGAGTACATTCCTTCAGTGCACATTACCTCGGAAATCCAATTAATTTTCTTTGAAAACATTGAATTTGTCCGGATTAAATATATTCCACTAGCGTGAGTCAAAAAACCATAAAATCCCAAAACTTTAATGAAGAAAACATACAACTTCTAAATTTAAACCATAGCTTAGGTTTTCACTTCGTTAGGAACAACGTGTTAACTGTACATCCGCATGATCCCTTACGTCACCGGTGGTCCTGGCGTTTGCACCCCGATGAACCAAATGAGGCATTCACATTCGTCAAGTGTTACAAATCCTTAAACGGTGAATCATTTGCAGAAGAAACTGACATCAATTGCCTTCCATCAAGCTGATGACAATGGCGTGGCGAATGCGTTGATGTCCTGTGGTGTCTGTGGTCATTAGCCGCACAGGGCAAGGCATTTTGGATAGGTCTAGGAGAAATTAAAAGGACCACAGAGGACGAAGGCAAACGGGTTTATTTGTCGAGAGATTGGGGTCGGATGTTCTCGACAGACATGTTGGTGACTAGGATCAGCCGCAATGTTGCTTGCGTCTAGTGTCTCAAGAAGTACCGGACATATCGGCGATCGTATAAGAAGCACACCCGATTCCAGAGTAATTAGACCTCCCTGTAGGCGGGCATTGTTACAGAGGAAAATAATCCAACCATCATCTTCCCTATTGGCATCGCCTATCTTGGTGTTTAAGTAGAAGAACAGTTCCGTTTGGTCATGTGTCGAATACCAGAAGCTTGACCAAGTAGCGATAAATGACGGCTTTCCTACTCCGCGAATGAATGTAACGTAACACGCTCTAGACGGGTCAACCAAATTTTTTACCTTCGATTTAAAGTCTGACTATTGGCATTTCATAATCAATTCACTTATTTGGTAGAATTACATCAGGGGTAGATAAATTCGAGACTGCTCCCTTTAGCCTCGCCAACGCTCAAGCGATGTTTATAAAATCTAAACAAAGACCGTCTTGCGTAGCCGTCTCGCAGGGCAGCCTTGTATACAGTGACGAGGTAGATGCGTTACCTAACGTCTTTAAACGTCTTTATGGATGAGGATTGGAAGTTTAACAAGCTAAATATGCGCTCCTTTAAGATTTGGTTAGGCTTGTAAGAGATTTTTCACAGGCCTTCAGAGAAAGGACGCCGCTGGGAGTGTATTAAGCGGTGCAACAGGCGATTTGCGGTATCAAGGCTTATCAGGTAGAAACCCTTGGCTTTATATTTCCTATTTTCCGAAAATGACCATTCCCCGTTTACTTTGTGCGTGACTACATGCTTTCTTATTGTGCTGCAAACGCTGTATGCTAGGCATTGTTGCACGGTAATTAGATGTGATAGACCAGTTCACCGTGTTTATTTAGACCCCTTAATCGGTCGGTTCCACTTTTCGCAGCATGTCGACAGCCGCGCGAATCCTCAACTCCCTCCTCATTCACACTGATATTCATCTTGAATTATCCTCATAACTAGGTCCCGATGTTAGCGCATACAGTACTCACACATCGAGGTATAAATGAACACGTGCGAACCCCACACAACGACATAACGACATCTGCTTTGGTTGAGCTCTGAGGTAAACGGTAGTGTGCATGACTTTTACGATCTTTTTCTACATCACGGGTATTAGGAAAACGTAATCGGGCTAGTTTTAACTCCGTGGCCCCAGCGTGTTCAAAACCACATGCTGGAACCCACGACACACCCTACGCGTGTGGTAGCACAATTGGCAAATTATTTTGGATCTACACATTGGGCGAAAAACTTCTCACCAACGCCTAATGGCAACCAAATGGTCCTAGTTGTGGTTAGCAATTTTCACAAGAAGCGAAACACTAATCTTCGCAGCGAGCCAGATGCTGTGTCTGTGGTAAAGGGGTGTACGGCTGAGTAAACTGCCAGTATTGGGGCACCGTATAAAATTCACACCAATCACTACAGTCAGTACTTCTGGAACTATGCGGCTTGTTAGGCACCCACAGCAGCGTGTCACCAACAGGGAACAGGAGATTTTATGACTGCATTCAAATGCATTTTGCCTTTAACCAGTGCGACAAGGCCCCATCGAATCGAGGCCTTTCATTCATATCTCCACCAGTCTAACTCCCTCCGTAATTACATTCAGACATGAGTTACGGCTACCAGCCATTGCTACTAGTGCTATCATGGTAGAGACTAAGAATAATCTAAAACACAATATAGGTGGGCTTTCTACATCAACTTAGAACATTCAAATTGGTTTATATTCGGTTTTAAAGCAATAATTAACTTACTTTTGAAGAAAAAACATAAAATCTGACAAAGCCATGTTTCTTTATCCATATGATTAAATGAAATTTCTAAAATTATTATAGGTGCAAAATTAATGTATTGCGTGAAAAGGGCTAAGTGAAAACATTCTTGGCCTTTTTAATTTAAGGTCATTTGAAACTCTAAACTCACTCTTCAGAAAAAAATTCGTTGAGGGTTTTAACTCGTAGTTTCAATGTACAGCAACCATTTCCGAACCGAAGCTAAAATATGTCCAAAACATCAATGCAGGAAAAGCATGAGAGGTTTAATGAGCTAACAGTTTCCTAAATGGGATCGTCATTAAATATTAAATGGACATTAATCTTAAAAAAGTCAAAAATACCAAAGTTGCACACACATAACGGCAACGAAAAAATCAATTATATGATTAATGGTTTCAAATAAATGAATATGTAGTAAATCTGCATACAAATTACTCAGGGAAGAAATTCGTGGCTTTAAGTGAATCGCAAACCCGTTAATAACACACTAGGCGCAAATTTGAAGGAAGTCTTCTGAGTTCTGATCGTAATTTTGTGCTTTGAATACAGATGGTTAGTCACCAAAAGTTCTGACGGAGTTTTATTTTATTTAGTTGACTATTTAATGATGCGAATGTTTCAGTATCGCATTTGTTCTTTATACGTTGTTTAGTGGCCCATGACTGTTTTATCCGTTTCTTTCTCACATTTTCATACCCATTAACGGAAGAAATTGTTCGGACATTCTAGCATAGTGTTATTCTATTTCTATTGTGAAATGGCAATTAGTAATAGCAATGTGTCATTTCTGCTTGGCCATGATGTGATGTATGCCCGCATGGTCCTTTCACCGTTAATATTGTCTTTTGGCTACTTCATGCTTGAACATTATTTCATACCCCACATTGTACATTTTTTTATTAATCAGTAATTTTTTACTTTAGAAGTCCATTCGTCAGGAAAAGAGAGGTAAGTCAAAAATTTCGATCTTTCATGTGTAACTTCGTTTTTTGATTCCACATATTTAGTGTAATGAGCCTGTTTTCCAACTTCGCTAAGCCATGATTTTTGAGAGCTACACAATTACTGCGCCACAGGAGAACGGTTCTTGCGTGAGTGGCAGTGCTGAGCGCTAATTGATTTTTTGGTCGTGTGAGTTTTGTCCGGAGGAGGTGTTTTGCTCGTCAAAGGCTAGGTGGGGTGGTTTGTGAAATAGTTGGCGGGCAGTAGAGACGTAGACTGTGAGAGTTGGGGTGAGGGTTTTGAGTCACTGCAATAGCTGGAATGGTTTGGTTTTGTGTAGGCGACGACGTGGTGACCGAGGCGAACTGTGTTGCCTGCCAGTCAGTCGTCATAAGTCAGCATGCAGAGTCGTCGTTGTTATCAATATGCAATGACACAACCATGGGCAATCTTCGGCTGAACGCTGGTGGAGATACAGAGGCGCCATCTGGAGACGTTGATGACTCACTTGAGGTTTCTTCTCTGCGAACGGAGTGTCCGAGTCTCATCGGTGGTTGCTTGAAAGCGTCGCGTGTGGAGGACCACAATCGGCGCGCTTTCGACCGTGTGTCTGTGGCGGTAGGTCAGGTTTCCTCAACGCCACTTTGTGCTTTTTGTGCGTTGTCTTGTGCGGTCGATTCGAAAACTGTGCCTAAGTAGATGATGAAGATCACAATTGTGGAAGTAGAAGTGGCTCGGTGGAGGCCAGAGGACACGAGAGAGTGAGATGTTGGCGTGTGAGGTGATGAGGCAGTGGAAATGTGTGGCTGTCTTACTGGCCTCAATGATGTGGAGAATGAAGCTAGAGTTTTCCGTGTGGGCATTGTCAAGTGTGTGTGTGTGTGGCTTTTTCGATGGAGGAATCGGTGAAGTGACTGCTGTGGCGTTAGAGACATTGCGAGTTCGTGAATTGTGATGGAGTTTTGGTTACGCAGGTAACCGAAATGGTTCTGTTTTGGATGCTAGGTAGCAAGGATCCAAGACGCTGTGGATGAGTGGTCGGTGAAGGCGGCGGCAGAAATGCCGATGGCTCTCAGTGGACCTGACGACGTCGACTGCGTGGTTGGTGAAGACGATAGAAGGGATTATTCACGGCGTCGTGAAACGCACGTGTCGTTTTCAAAAGTGAGAGGTAAGCACAGTGAATGGGCGGATCAGACCGAAGCAGGCGAAGTGGAGGAAGCGATTGAGGAAGAAGTGAGGACCATCCCCTTGCGAGTACACGAAGCAATAGTGGCGGAGTATGAGGCGCGCTGCAACCAGTTAACGAGTGCAAATGACGAACTTGAGAAGACGTATGTGCAGTTGTCGAAGGAGTTGGAATCGGCGTGCAGAAACCACTCGGAGTCAATAGCTACTCTTCAAGCGACCATGGTTAGCAAGAGTGACTACGATGAACTTGTTGGCAAACTGACACAGGCGCAGAATGTCGCACGTGAGCTTGAGAACCGGGCAAATGAGTTGCAGGTGAGTAGTTGGGTTATTGTGTAAAGGAAGGTATTAGTCAGTAGAAGTTGCTTGGAGGTGAGTTGAGGTAATTGGACGGAGTGGTGTAGTAAAGTGTTTAGGATGTGGTTGTGGTGTGGTCAGAGGTGGAGAGTGATGAGTGTGGTTGAGGCCGTTGGTGGGTGGTAAATTCGCAGAATGAGGCCGTATTGTAGCTGTGGTGTGAGTGGACAGAGCTGGATGGTTTTGATGTTGTTGGTGTTGTTAGGTGTCCCTGACAGAGACGACGGAAAAGATGGAGTTGTGTTAGAGTTCAGTTGGAGGAAGCGTGGGCGGTGGTGTGGCGGTAGGAGGTTGAGTTGGTGAAGTGGTGTTGTAGGGATGGCGGAGGAATGCGGTGTTGCTAGTTGTTTTGATTGTTGTTGTTGTTGTTTGCCATTTCAGACTTCCGAGAAGACAATGAGGGATGCTGAGGCGAAGAATGCGGCCCTGTTGGAAGTAGCTGAATCGAGGCTTGCTGCTGGTATGCGAGACGCAGTTATTTGTAGCTTGCAATGTGTTCATTGCGATGCGTGCATGCAGCACAACACAGGGTGGCGTGGGGATATTGTGGGTGTGGTGTTAGTCGAGTGTCTGGTGCTTGTGATACGTAGTCACTGGAATCTGCTGTGATGGTGTTTGATGTAGCTATGTGAGGTTGATTTGTTTGGTGGTGTGGAGAGGCGCAAGTTTGATGGCCTTAGTGTGGTTGGAGTGAGGTGTGTGAGAAGTAGTCGAAGGAGAGGTGTTTGAGTAGATGTTTTTAACTGACAGCGGAAGAGAGGCGCGAGCGTCTTGTCGCGCGAGAAGTGGAGTTGCTGGATGAGATGGAGGCGAAAGACGTGAAGATATTGGTTCTGGAGAATAACCTCCAGGCTGTGCTCATGACGGCGGCTGAAACCCAAGTAGAGCTTGAGAGTTTGAGTCGCCGAATGGTAGAGCTGGAGGAGGCGGCGGAGGGCCGAAACTCGAGGCGCTCATCTGCCTCGGACATGGAGGAGAAGGCTCGGAAGTATTCCGAGTTGAAAGCCGTTGCCTTCAAGCTGAAGTCGCGACTGCACAAACGGACTGAGTAAGTTGTTGTGGAGTTGGAGTGAGGACGAGGTTGCTCGTGGCGTGCTTAGAATAAGGTGGGTTTGTCGATGGCAGTGTAGTAGTAGTGCAAGTGTGTTAGTGGTCGGGACCAGAGTGTGCCACTTAAAGGGGCACTGTGAGAATTGTGGGTTGTATTGTGGAGCGAGTTGCAATGAAAGGAAGACTTGGACCCGCGTTTGTCACTTCAATGGGGGTGTAGGGAGGCCTCTTGTTTGGGTAACCGTGCTTACGGTGGTGGTGGTGGTAGTGTGGAGTGTTGGCAGAAAGAGAAGGAAGAGCGTGTCGCTGTGATGCCTGTTGGTTTGTTTTGTTGGTTTGTAGATTGCTGGAAAGCAGCATGAAGGAGAATAGACACCTGCGACGAATTGCTCACGAGAACGAAAGGCGCGCCAAGGGGTTCCTTGAGGAGTTGGAGCGACTGCGTAGACAAGTGAGTGCTTTGTTTTGCTGAGATTGTTTGTGTCGGCAACCGATGAAAATTTCGTGGTAGACGTAGTGTGAGTTGTCTTTTTGGGTGGTGAACACGTGGTTTGTCGAGGTAAGCACGACAGTTTCTTGTAGTTGGGTGTTATTGGTGAATTGGTTTGCGTGGTCAGAGTTGATGTGTTATCATTGTGCTTGGGTATTGTAGATAGTGAAGAAGAATGCTGTCATTAAGAAGCTGATGGCGGTGGTACGTTCGCTGCCTGTTCGTCATTTTGGCGCGAGGCCGTGTGAAGACGCGCCACATGAAACCCACAAGCCTCCAAGACGTGCGTGAGTTACCTTGGTATTTGTTGTGTGTTTCACTATGCACCTGGAGTGCCGCCGTGGTGTCACGTAGGTGTGGGGTGGTAGTTGGTGTGGTGTGTGGCAAAGCTCAGGCCGTGTGTATTGTGGTTTGCTCTTAGACGCTCCGTAGAGTCGAGTTGCAAAGGGTCTGGACACGAAGTCGCCCCGGATGTTGGGGAGGAGTGTGTTGGTGTGGCGGTTGCCACTGCAGAGCCTTGTACAACCTCTGATTTGTCTTCAAGTGATGCTGAATGGTACAAACGCGCTCACTTTATTGTAAGTTGTTGGTTTTTCTATGTCATTAATGTTTTGCTGTTTCTGCTGCATAAACTTTTTCTAGGAATTAAGGAGTCTTGAGGAGTTTTGAAATTTTTCTGGTTCGTGCGTCCGGGTGATCTCGTTTATCTTTTTCTCATACTCTCAGTCCTTGTATTATTTGCAATGCACTGGCGTTTTCTAGCTTTTTTTACTTTTGTAAATAAACGATAGTGTGAATTGAGACAAAGCAGTTCTTATTTCAATTATGTAATTTCAGTTATCCTCGGGGTTAATGTTTGCGCTTCCATGGTGTTGTTGAAATTCTTCAATCCACGTTTCCCGCCTATGTCTGATGTGTAAGGGAGGTTTCCGAGTCTAGGGTGAAAGGTATCGACATCGGCTCTTAAAATCAGCTGACACGTGATGCAAATATTGTAACTAGTTGTGGGTTGTTTCATTAGGATGAATATCATCTGCCTCTGCGGGGGGAGAACTCAAATGATTTATTTCGAGCGCAGTTGAAAAATTGTTAAGTAGAAAAGCAAGAAGCATGGCAGGGAATGATGAGCTGTTAATTGGACTGATGAATCAGACTAATGGAACTGAGGACGTATACGCGTATTAGAACGACACCAGCAAGACCAACACTGACAACGCAATGGAGGGCTCCAGAATTGTAGGCAATCGTTGGGTGGCTGATTTAGAACAGCATTAATGGAAGTAAGCACTAAGACGTTTAGTCTGAACAATTTCAACCTGCGAGCCCAGCTCTGACGCTGTCATCACCGGTGGCATTTCACCGAGGACAGCCACTACCGATTTGGCCGCGCCCTCGTGTTCGCCTCCTCAACCGAGTGATGCCAATTAATTAGGCCCAAACGATTACGGAGGCGATCAAAGTGGTTAGGAACAGTGACTGCTAGTGTTCTAGTTGTATGCCGTGCGACAACTTTGGCTGTCTCTTGGGGTACTTAAAAGATGAAGCCGACACAATATCACCTGTGGCGCGTTAAGTTGCCTTCAGATACCAGATTGGGTGGGTTGGGTGTGCGAGTGTTAAGCTGGTAGGAAATATGTCATGATATAACTGATCGAGGAGGCCGTTGTTGGTAAGGCTATATTTAAACCATCGAGTCTAATTCCTGGTCTTTTGCCTAAAACTTTGATTGGGTCGTCAGTGACGCAATTGTAGTGCATTTGGAGATGGCATCTGCCAATTTTGGGCTTATCGCAGTACTTCGAATTCACACAGTTGCAATAATGGTGCGACGTGTTTTGTTAGATATTTGAAATGGAAGCGTTTCTGTGGTTATTATCACTTGGAAATGAAGTGCTGGAGGGTACTCATGTACACTGGTGACACAAGCCTACATCATGCGACCTGACGTGTGCGCGGTTTTAGCAAAGGGATGGTTTCTTGTTTGCGGAGCCCAGCCAGCGTCCAAACTACCTGTCTCTTAACGATTGCGTGCTGCCCGGTGTAATTCTAATCAGCTTTTTATAGTGGTTTGCATTTTTTTATGACTGTTATGATTTGTCAAATTACCATTTAGGTAGTCGGACAACGTGATCATATTATTTGAACAAAACGTGGTATCGAGAATTTGGCTAAACTTGCAAATACATTTCATCCTCACTTGAGGCTACATTCCGGTGTTAAACTAAACCATGAACTTCTGTAAGTAATGAGACAACGCGTAATTTCCCAAATTGTGAGAATAGTGAACTCTCTCAGGTACCGCCTAAGGTTGCAACTGGAAGCAAGCGGGTTAATGTTGGGAAACTGTTTTCGAGCACTAGAAGCGCGCTGCAATGCTTCGGTTTGCGTCATGAGCAGTTTACTGCGTTTGAGAGTTAACTGTTTAAATGCCATCGTGAGGGTCGGGGGAGTGTCATTGGTGTCACCGGATGTGGGAGCATAAAATGTGTTCCTCCACGTCAGAGGAATGAAGGAAATGCAGGATGCGTTGAGTAGGTGGGCAGAGGATAGAGCTTACACGAGTCGACTGTGAATATAGTCAGGAATCACTGGATGAAATGCAACAAATCAAGAGCCAAATTACTAGTTAACGTATTCAAACAAATTTATAACAACTGCAGAATTGAAGTTGCCAATGGTGCCTCGGCGTTGCCATCGAAAGAATGCTGATGGCGTTTGCCAGGTGCTTCAGGGATTGTCCTGCTTTCTGTGCTGGCTGATAGTCATAACGTCATTCGGTGTTGCATGTGCATTCTTACCTGTTCATGAAACTCGGTCGATGATGCACACAGCGTAGTGCAGTTGTTCAGGCTACTGTTCCATGAAACATGCTGCTGTCAAGTTTCGCCAGGACCTTCCACGCCTATGGAAACATACCCGTTGGTACTAATTCTCTGTGTGTATCTACAAAATGACACATTTCAGGTTGCTGTGTATTTCCAGGTGTTTGGAAGGCCACTAACTGCCAAATGTGTTTTGTTTGCGTTCGATCAGTTACGCACATAAAATGGTGTCTAATACAGCCTGTAGCATGCCAATCAACTTGCGGAGAATTTCGAAAGCGACTGTCGCACTGCATGCTGTCGAACTTCAATGAAATTCCTTCCACACACTGCATCGAGCTCACCCGTCTCTTTACCATGCTTTTAAGGTTGACTCTGAGTGTCTTCAAGATGTCATGAGGGGTGAGGAAAAGTCCACTTAGCTTGGCACTAGGAGCAGACCCTTGTTTACCTCCTCCCTGGTACCGGTCGAAATGCCGTGGTGGCATCAGTGATAATACCCCCAATCGATCAAACTCCTCCTAAGTGTGCGTCAGCCCAAAGACCTTGTGATAAAGACTAGTAATTTTTGGGTAATCAGACGTAAGCTGTGGGCTGCAAGCTGCCGAACATTTGAATGCAGACGGCAGATACGAAAAACCAGGTTCTAGAGACAAACTAGAGGTCAGAAACGTTTGTTAGACGTCGAACATCAAGATATGTCTGAGGTGCCGCTATTTTGTTACTTTCAGGAAACAGAGTTTATCTACTGGTCTCAAATATTTTTCGAGCAGCAGCAGCAGCAGCAGTCTGCATCATTGACTTCACACCTGTATTTACTAAACTAGTTATTAGACCACATCCAAGTTGATTTTGTGCCGTTATTTCGCCCTAGCGAAACAGCGCAGTAGGCATTCTACTTAATATCTCTGTTAGCATCATTTACGTGTTCATGCCAATAGCCCCGTGTGTTGAACAAACCAGAACATGCTTTTCAAGCACAGTTTCGAGGTGACCTGCAGGTTCTGGCGGTTATCGTCATCCACATCACTATTTGTGTCTGGACGGATCATTGATTCATGCATTAATGTCCTTTGTTATACCTCAGAACATACAAAGTTAGATTCACCATGGCTGATTAAAAACCATTGGCTTTGTACAGATCCGGAAATGGAGCCTAAATTTCCTCAAAATCTGCACATCTTTATTTTAAAAATTTCAAGATGCTCGCCAACATATCTAAATATAATGCCAGACTATCACGGAGGTACTTTCTTATTAATCCCATTAAGGAACAGATTTCAACTGACTTAAGTTGAAACTGCAAGAATTAATAGACGCACGCATATTCTAATGTGTTGGCCACATTATTTACTTTAACACCAGCACTGAATTACAGGAAATCCATTAAGAATTAACCTCAATGCAGAACACTTGATTGTAGACAGCGGATGAAAAAACTAGGTTCTGCAGAAAAACAAGGGGTTAGAAATGTTCGTCAGGACGGCGTATATCAAGATATGTCTAGGGTAGCGTTGTTCGTCAAATTTTTAACACCATTGGCATACAA